GGACCTGTAGCTTGAAAAAAACAAACAAATGACCTGCACTTACATCTTGCTGTGTTGTAGTCTGATTTGAATATACAACAGTTTGGCCTGAACTGAATACCTCCAGACTCTTAGTACAGTTATTTGGTTTTTGGCACCCTTGCAACACAGCTGTCTCATCTCTGTTGAAGCCAACAGTGGCTTTAGCAGTAACAAGGACTGCTGTACACAGCAAATTGGGCATTTCAAATTAGGGGACGAATGGATATAAAAAATGCATATTTTTCAGTTATTTAACCAAGCCTGAAATGTATAAAACAACCTTGTAACTCATTGTTAGGTCAATAAAGTATTCATCAGTCAGCAAGGAATTTCAAACAACCCCCAAGTCTTATTTGTTTCACATTGTGGTGTGAAGTTGCGACTACATCTCAATGGTCTTACCTGTCTCAATGGAGCCAATAAAGCCTATAATAAATCCAGCTGTGTGGTATAGAGGCAGGTTGAGGTAGATAACATCACTGGCTGTTACACCGTTTGAAGATAAAACAGCCAGAGCTGTTAGGAGGCGGTTCTGACTGACCACAGCCGCCTTAGGGAGACCTGAAATACAACAAGACAGCGACAACCCTTAAAGCTTGAAGAAGGTCTGAGATATGTTGTTGTGGGAACAGATCATCACATGAAACCGAAAAACAAACAGACCAAAGCAGCTACTCCAATACCTGTAGTTCCAGAGGTGTAAATATAAACTGCAGGGCTTTTGAAAGTAATGTGTGATCTGAGGGATTGGGGAAGTGGGGAGTCCGATGCCTCGTCCACTTTGTCAGAGAAACTCTCAATTCCAGGTGTGTCACAGTGTTTGGTCATCAGAAGGACGGCGACGCCTTGCTCTGTCAGTGTGGGCAGAACATCCTCCACTGCTTCCTTTAGCTCTGGAAATGGACACACAGCAGAATCATAACCACTGAATACCAGTTTTACATTAATATACAGACTTGCCTAGATACTTGCCCAATATTGGCAGTGAAAACAGACGCTTATGCGAATAGATCCTCTTAAATGTTACAAATTGGATCTTTAATGCCTGATGGAAGCCAACCACAACCTGATAATCACCCAAGCACTGAGGCTGGAGGACAGACAGTGGAGACGAGGACGATGTGCACTGCAGTAATTTTTAAGGACAGAAACACTGACATTTCTTGAACAGAAACAGAAGCTTGAAATTGGTCAAGACAAGACAAGGCATCCTGGTAACAGCCGAGAGTGAGTGCTTCGCACAGGACAGGGTGCTAAGTGTGCTGTATTAAGTGTTTATTCTTTGTTATTCTTCTTGTACGTGTTTTTCTTTTTTTCATATGTATGTATGTATGTATGTATGTATAGACTGCGGTAACACATTTCCTGTGGAGGACAATAAAGTATATTATTATTATTATTATTATTATTATACCATGACAATTTAAATCTCTCTATTCTATTTCTTTATTATTTTATAAGTAAACGTTTATCTGTTCCTCTAAAAAACAGCTTAAATGAGGTTAAATTGAATCCATAAATAATTTAGTTTCACAGAAACTTAATCCAACATCTTTCACTTTAAGGAAAGTTTTGCTCTAATGCACAAGCACAGACGCATACCTGGGGCAGCTATCAACACTTTGGCCCTGCAGCAGTTGAAGCAGTGCAGCAGAGACTTGTTGCGAATGTTGTGATTGAGAAGAGCCACAGGAGAGCCTAATTTAGCCAAGGCCAGCCAGGTAAACATGAAGGCGGGTTCATTCCCCATGAAAAGCGCAACTGTGTCCCCAACTTTATACCCAGGGTGAGACTGGAGCGCGTTGGCTGTTTTGTTACTCCTCGTATCTGTGTATTTGTACGAGTATCCTTCGTTTTCAAACACAATGAACAGCTTGTCCGGATGCGCAGCGGTCTGCTCCAAGAAACGGTCCAAAACAAAGAAGAGAGGTCTCCTTCTTCGCCTCGAAACAAACTTCACTAAAATCCGCAGCAGATCCTTGCAATACAGAATATCCACCCAGAGATAAGGGCAAAACGTTTTGAGTGCGAATGGTATGATGAGGATACTTGCTAAAATGATTGAAAGTAAATACATCTCCATCATGTTTTTCTCGTTCAAAATCCACAGGTCCTGTAAAAAAAAAAGAGAAAAAAAGAAAAAGAACAGCCCCTGTGGCAAAATGGGGAATGTTGCAAATAAGGACTTAGTTCAGTGGGGCGGGGCATTTTCTCAAAATGTAAGTTAAATTCATAGGAAATGTAAAATATGTGAATCATTTTGAATACTGATGTTTGAATAGATTATTGCTCAGCAGCACTTTTCCATTTTTATTGAAAAAAAAAAGAAGAGAAAAAGTGGTCTTGAAAACTTTCTCTGACTGAACTGAACAAGAGTTACTTAGAGAGCAACAACGTTAAAAGGATTCTTCACTATATAGTTCACATTAAAGTCAGTCCCAGGGTCAGTTGAAAGAGGCTTTTGCGGATTATTTCCTAAAAAAAGAATATTAAAAAAATTCTAACTATATAATCATCTAAGTGTCTGCAGTAATCATCTCTGCTCGTTACATTACATGTAAACAGCTACAGTTCCTCAGTCTGTAACACTTGAGATGGGTCTGTTTGTTCAAGATCTGAGCTCTCAAACTACAGACATGTCCCATCTTTTGCACACAGAATCAATAAAGAGTTCACTTTAAGTGGCAAACAAATTCTTAATGAGTAATAATAAGTGTACACTACAGTCGGACCAAACCTTGTTTGATTTGTTGTGATCAGTATTTCTAAAGTCCTGTATATGGCCCTGTCTGCAGCTGTCTGGGATCAGTTGGTGCAGTAGGCGGACCCGCAAATGCCAGCCATTCAGAGTTGGACTATTTAACAGGTGTCATAAACCTGCTCACAATTTCATGCAAAACAAGGGAGACCACCAGGGGGGAGAGTGTTGTGTATGGAGAAAAGGTAAAGGATTAATCAAGCCAGAGACGGCAACAAACCCAGGACCTGCTGGTTGAAAGGAGCGAGAGATAACTAACTGATCAACTCCCTTTAAAGCATTGTAATCAGGTGTAGCTCATCTTATAGTCACACCCCTGCCACTCTGTCTCCTGAAGAGAAACGAGGGAAAAATTACACAGAACCATCAGAGTGGGAGGGGTCATCACACCCCCCGCCAAAAATATTACATAAAATTACAATATGGCTGCACATCTCGGCGTGAAGTGATCCTCTTTTTTTACAGACATCATTAGTCTTGTGAAAAGAAAAGTAATGCCTGCAAAACAAACAAGGACCGCTGCACCCAAATAACCAACACAACGCTTCAAGTGGACAAGTGGACATAATAAGAGTCAGACCAAATCTGTGTGTAGTTTGTTGAAATGTAAGCATATGATCACTATTGTTCCTATTAAACTTACACTGCCTGCCACACAGGTACACACAGGTGTACATGTGCCTGCCATAAAAGTCTGGTTGTGGAATAAGGATATGTGCAGAGTTTTAACCAATATACAATGCATGCTGGAAAGTATATGCTTATATGCACAAGCTAAACAGACATAAATCAGTTTTTTTCATTTCCATAGTAAACAACTCTTGTGCTAAAGAGGAGGAGAATTCACACTCAACTCTGCAGCTCTTTCAGCTCAACGTTTTAGTTTTTACGGCCAACTATTTGACTTTTAATGTTTGGGAACATGCACTATTACAAAACAATATCAGCTGACATGAAAAGGACTTTAAAGCAGTGGTTCAACATTTTGGGAAATATACTTATTTGCTTTCTTGCAGAAAGTTGAGAACACTCTCATGTCTGTCCAGTAAATACAGTGTAAGGCTACAGCCAGCAGCAGCTCAACTAAGCTACCAGCACCTCTTAAGTCCACTAAATTATCTTTTTAGCCAGCGACAACCGGTTGCAGTCTTATGGAGGATCATGTGTCGGATGATTTCTTGGCTGGAGCAGTAACTTCCTGAATATCGTCGTCAGTGTAAGTTTGTCAGGCAGCCAGCAGAAGCTTGACTGCACTGTGTGTACTGTGTATATCTGCTGTTTATCTACAGGCTTCTTTGCATGTTTTTCTACCCCCAAGTGACCCTGAATTGATCAATGCAGCTTTAATGATTAAAAGAATTAGTTGATTTCATTCTTCTTGTTACCGTTGGACTAGTAAATGATGCTATTGGGAATTGAAGGCATCCTCAGGGCATATCCTTTGAACTCTTGGGCAAAAGCCAGATTTTTCTTTTAGAGGGCTAGATAATATCAGCAGTCACTGAGGTCTCTGGGTTGTGAAACTCTTGTGAGCACACCACAGTGAAGCATGTGGTGGTTTTTCACATTGTGCTGGTTTTACACGTCGTGCTTTGCACTCTAGAGTGTGTTATAATAATGTTCCTTAATAAAATAATATTGTTAATGTTATTACGTTACACTGAACTACACTCAGATAAGCTACAGTAAAGTCTAGAAATGTCAGTTATTTAGAAGCTTTATTATATAAATTTGCTTATTTTTAATACATTTCATAATTTTTTTGTGATCAACACAGGAGGCTAATAAGAGAGGATTGTAAAAATTAATAACTCTGTAGACTTAATCTTGGTTTTAAATTCCTGATTATTAGGCTAAATAAAAACCCCAAAATACTCAGTTTAAGTGTTTTCAGCCTTTTTATGCAGGAGCAATGTGTTGACATGTGTAGGCCTAGTTTTCAGGTTATATATCTACTGTGCATTTTTTATTTATTTATTTTTAGCATAACAGATTGAAGGAGAACATAAAATAGTCTGCACAGTGAAATTATAATGCAATAATTCCTAAGACATTTTCAAATGGGAACTTATAATGATACTGGACCAGTTGATAAGAATTTGCTGGCGTAAGGGATTGCGTTTCAGGAATGCTTTTTCTCAAGTCACGTTGCCCCACGACATGAAGGCAACCAATGGTCTCAGAGGCACGTAGACCCACTGCTATAAAGCGGAGTCGTCTTCATTTATGAGCAAACTTCGAGGTGGATCCTGAGCTGCTGTTTGATTTCACTGACACACTCACTATTACATTGGACAATGCTGCGAGTCAGGTGTCTGAGAGGAGGTAGCAGGGGGGCCGAGGCTGCCCATCTGATCGGAGCCATGGTTGGTATTATGGTGGTTTCATGTCTTTTCTTTTTTCCAAAAATGTTTTAGAAAAAAAATTCAATTTCTTTCTTTTTTTTTTTTTTGTTAAAAGAGAAAGCACATGTGAGTCAACGTGAATAAAGAAAATATGTTCGACATTTTCCTCACCAGACTACATCTGAGCTGCTTTTTCACTCGACATCAGCTCGATTGATTCATTGTTTTATTCAAACATTTTTAGCTAAAATACAAAAAAAAACCTCGAAAATCAAATACAATCTAATCGACTTTTTGGACTAAAAACACTGACAATAACAAACAGACCCGAGTCAGAGGATTAATTTGTTTCTAATTACTGAAAAGAGCTTTTTTTCCCCTTTTGGTTCCTGAGTGACAGTGGACAGCTGTTTGGCACAGATGCGCTCCCAAACTCAGTGACACTTGAGCTGCTCCTGAGCCAGCAGAGGCCACACTATCTGTTGAGATAACGCTTCTTAATAACACGTGTACTTCGGCACCAAACAAACTAAAGGCATTTTCTCATCGATATCTTCAATCTTATGTATTCTTTAATCAGCCAACAGCGTTTTATTGTATTTGTACTAGGCTTTTTTGATTGTGAGCTGCCAGCAAAGTCATGTATTTGACTAACACTTCTAATTTCACTTCATTTCTGGCACTAAAGTAAAAAAATAAAATAAACAAGCATACAGCAATGGTGATTACACTCAGCTACTTTTGTTTACAACTGATTGTATTAATATGTATGCACTGCATTTTTCTGAAAAAAGGTTTATTAAATCCAAAGATTATTTTAATACAAAAGTCTTTCTCAGTATCTGTAATGTCACCTCCATAGCACAAAACTGAAGGACATTTTTGTGCTGCAGAGTATGTAATTGTATTTGGTTTTGCTTTGTTTTTTCCCCTCCTCAGCTTGGCCGGGCGGTGACTGGATGGGTGCAGAAGGCCTCCCAGAGCACTTCAAGTGCAGCTGCTGCACAGCCGCAGCGTGCAGTTGAAGAGGAACATGTTACTGAGCCCATGCAGCAGGAATGTCCTGTCTGCAGCTACAATGAATGGGACCCTCTGGAGGAGGTGATCGTGGGCCGTGCTGAAAACGCCCATGTGCCTCCCTTCAGTGTGGAAGTGAAAGTAAGCTGTAATGTCAAGATGACGTCTGTGCAGATCACATAACTTACATATGTGGGCCACTGAGTATCCAAACCGTAATATGACACCTAAATTGAATTGTCAAACCGTGAGATTAACTCCATGTTGTCATATCAACCTCTCAACAGGCTAACACATACGAGAAGTATTGGCCCTTCTACAATAAGTATGGGGGCCAGTCTTTTCCTGAGGACCACTTGAAGAAAGCTGTTGCCGAGATTGAAGAAATGTGCAATATTCTGCGTCAGGAGGGCGTCGTTGTGAGGAGGCCAGAACCCCTCGACTGGTCCATGGAATACAAAACTCCAGACTTCACATCCTCAGGTAAAAAAATAGACAAGGCAGAGGTATATAACTCAAACCCAGTAAGACACAAGCCACACATAGTGTACTTACACACACACAAGTACTGTAGTTACTTGTACTTAACTTGAGTATTTCCATTTTATGCTACTGTTCTATTACTACTTCTACTCTACTGCATTGATTTCACTACTATAGTTACATACAGATTCATCTTCTGCACACAGAACATTTCCATTTATGCAATGTGATTCATTCCGTTGATTAAAGTATGCAGAAGTATATATAGCTGTTAAAATTAGCTCCTTCTCCCCTCAACCAGCTACAAAATTAAAGTATTGTTTACTTGTTAGTGATTAATAATATTTGCCCAGTCATGATATAAGATATTAAAGCAAATTCATTTTGCTTATAATACTTCTACTTGTAACTGAAAATTGTGTAATGTTACTTTTACTTAAGTAAATGATCTGACTGCTTCTTCCACCGCTGGTCTCACATTTATCTGTGTATGATAACACGTACAGTATGTTAGCACATCATGTTGTATTTCATAAAATATTCTATGTAAGCTAACTGTGTGTTGTTGAATCTGTTGTAGGCATGTACGCTGCCATGCCCAGAGACATCCTTATGGTTGTGGGAAATGAGATTATTGAGGCTCCCATGGCCTGGAGGGCTCGTTTCTTTGAGTACCGGGCCTACAGACCTTTGATCAAGGAGTACTTCAGAAAAGGTGCTAAATGGACCACTGCTCCTAAACCCACTATGGCCAATGATCTGTATGATCAGGTAAGTCTTCATCTTGTGAGATTCATTTAAGATGCCATACGACAGCACCTGTTGAATGTTTGTGGGCTGTGTAGAACTTGTGTTTTTTGAAGGGTTGGGAGTGCACAGAGTTAAACCTGCATTTAAACGCATTCTTTAGGTCCTTCATATCACCTCTGAACTCTTTGCCCCGGGCTATTTATTGCACTGTACGTGGCAAGAGACTGTAAACTACTGATTAATTGCTACAGTGTAAATCATTATTGCCTGGTGTCATTCAGAACTACCCCATGCGCACTGTGGAGGACAGACACAAGCTGGCCGCCCAGGGGAAGTTTGTGACCACAGAGCACGAGCCCTGCTTTGATGCTGCTGATTTCATCCGAGCTGGGAGGGATCTGTTTGTCCAGAGGAGTCAGGTATGAAGGCTGTTAAAATTATCAGCAAGTCTGCTGTGCGATAGGGTGACAAGATAAAGCAACATTTTGCTAATGTTAAACAGTAGATAACACATAGAGGTCTCTGTCACCGATTTACTATTTATTCACTCAAATCGAATACAGGTCCACAAAAGAATGCTGTACTTGAATCTTAATATACAACACTGGTAACGCCCTCAAACTTCCTCTTTTATTGTTTTTTTGCAGGTTACAAATTACATGGGAATTGAGTGGATGCGTCGTCATCTGGCCCCAGACTACAAGGTCCACATAATCTCATTCAAGGACCCTAACCCCATGCACATTGATGCCACTTTTAACATAATTGGGCCAGGACTGGTGCTGTCAAACCCTGATCGTCCATGTAACCAGGTACTGTAAGACAGGAAAGGCTACTTTTCATTTCTCACAGTGTCCTGTGCTGCCCTCTTGTGGACTGATACTTAGTTTGATACATAACTCTTTGTCCTTTATCTCAGGTCGACATGTTCAAGAAGGCCGGCTGGACTATTGTGAAACCTCCAGTGCCTCTGATCCCTGATGGTGGGTACTTTAAACTAAAATGTATCTTCTCTTACTTAAGCAAAACATTTGAATTTTTTGGTGGAAAAAATGACACTCTCTCCATTTCTATGTAGACCACCCACTGTGGATGTCCTCCAAATGGCTGTCCATGAATGTCCTGATGTTGGATGAAAAGCGTGTTATGGTTGACGCCAATGAAAACAGCATTCACAAAATGTTTGAAAGTCTTGGTGAGTTATTCCAGTTTATTTTGGCATTATTTTACATTCATTAAGATTAATTTCAACGGATATTTTGATCTTACAATTCATCGATAATAAGGCCTCTGTGCTGTGTAATGATACGTAAATGTGTTTTTTGTTGCAGGTATCAAGACCATAAAGGTGAACATTCGCCATGCCAATTCCCTGGGTGGTGGCTTCCACTGCTGGACAACCGATGTCCGCCGCCGTGGTACCCTGCAGTCCTATTTCCACTAGCCTTGCCAGAAATAGGCAGTTTTTATTGAGCTTTGAAGATGAAAGCCTCAATCCTAAATCTTAATACCACTTTAATTGTTATTGTCAGTGAATCACGTACGTACACACAGACTAATTAAGGGTGGAGCTTTGTGATACAAAAATCTACTGTTGGCAAATTTCTATCTCAAAAACTATCCACTGAAATTTGGGTGTTTGGGTGCTGCAGTTCAAAGTCAAACCTCAGAGCAGTTTACTCTCCTAACCTGGATGAAACAAACTAATAATGGGGCAATCTTATCTTGACGGGTGGCACCAAACTGCTTCTCTGGATTGGGTCTTAATGTCCTAAATTAACATGTATGAATTGTTTTGATTTGACATTGCTGTGCATCAGAGTGCCTTTGCAAACAGCTTTGTTCAGATATGCTCAATAGCAACAAATGAACATCACTTTACTTCAATTAGTAATCTCAATATTAACTGAATTTCTGGCCTGGCTATTGTGAAGCTGAATTGTTTATGACCTCTACATCTAAAAGTCATAACTTTGAGGACAAGGTACAATTTGGTATGTGAAACAAGGGCACAGGAGGAGAAAGAATGCATCCTCGTAAAAAAAAAAAAAAAAAAGTCAGAAACCTTAATTCTGTCTTTTTCCAAAGTATTTTTATATTTAAAGAAATGTATAAAAGTTTTTATGTAGGTCATTAAACAATATTAATTTCTTGCTGGTATATTATTTGTAAAGATATTAATTGAGAAGACAAAGTATTTTTCATACTCTTTATTGGATTTCCCAACAAATAGATGTTTTTATATATTTACTTAAAGTATGCGGTCCATATCAGATATTGTATACCTTTTGCCTCTGCTGTTTTCTCCTATTGCAAATCTGGGCCAGTTATATGCTACTAGTTGTTCTCACTGCTTGGCTGCTTTTGTGTGGAAAGCAAAAAAATGCCTAAAGAATGAAAGGTGTTTTGTTGTGAAGATTTATGTTTTATAATTCTTTTGCTGCCTTAACAGTTGGATATAAGATGTTTACCTTTTCAAGTCTATCTTGATATTGCTTTTGAAACAATGAACTTAAAGGACGTTATGGCTCAACAGAGGAATGCAAGTGATGTTTTGTATCAAGCAAGATTATTAAATGTAATTAAAAAGAGTTGTGTGTCATTATTGTGGTCGTGTGTTTGTTTTTGATTGTATTATTTGTTATATTTACTATGTTTGTGTTTGTTTATTGACCATTACTGTGTGGAGAAATGTTATAGCATTACATATCCAAACTCTTAATCCATATCACCAGTGGTGTGAGAAGTACTGAGAGCTTTTAATTAAGTTCATGTATTAAAAATAAAGCTAATAATACTTAATAACAATTTAAAATCTTACAATCAAAAGTAAAGTTACGTAAACACACAGGAGTATTATCAAAATGTACTTATTACTATATACTTATATAGGCTCCAGTTAAGTAGTTTTATTAATGCATCAGAAGCTGATCACATATTTTGGTGGAAACTTTCAATCTGAACAGTAACTAGCTACCAAATACTTGAGTATTCCCATCTGAAATGTCAAGAAGAAGTACAGTAGAGGAGTGAATATACATCCACCATTGAATATCACAAGCCTATCAAGTAGGCCATCACACTAACCTGTGAACCTGGGATCTGTTCACCTGGTTGATAAATGGCACTACAGTTTGCACTGAGCGTGACACCACCATTTACTGTAACACCTTTATGTCTGTAAACATTAACCAGGCTGATGACAGTGGGAGGAATGTTGCATCATATATTATGTAAACCTATTGCAAATGCAAACAGAAATGGTGACTTTATTGTAAAGATTAAACTGCTATATTTACTTATTTATTTAGTTTAAATTAATCTGAGTAACTATTGCTTTATGGATATCTGAAAAAGTAAAATCTGTGTGATACAGTACAAAAACATCTATTTAAATACTGCATAACTAAATCATTTATTCGCCTCCATCTTGTGGGGATAAAAAGTCAGTCAGGTGAAATGTGAAATGAACAAGGAGATGTTTAGTGACCAGTAAAAGTGGTGCTGTTACACCATTGACAGTTTTGTGTCTCTTATAAATAACCTCTCAGACAAATAATAATAATAATAATAGAGTTAACATTGACTGTATTTCTTTTAATTTCATTCTCTGTCAAAGTCATTTATTGTGACTTATGCAGCTTATAGCAGATTGTTATATAGCATAGTGTACCTACTTTATGAGAACTACATTTGAGTGTCTCAGTATTTTAGTGCGTTTGAAGTCTGCAAGACAATACAGTATGTACAAAAATAATAACGTTCTGATCTATCGTCTGATACCAGTTAAATAAGAAATGCTGAAAAGGTTAAATAGTGACAGAAAAAAGGTTACTCAAGCCACACACTGTTTAAATAAACTGTGAGAGAAGTAGTGCAACAGCCTTTTGACGCCTTGTTTCTGCTGCCATCTAGTGGTGAAAGTTACACATTGTACGCTGAAGTTCATTGGACCAAAACTAAAAACAAAGTTTCCAGATGACACAATTAAACACTTAATGTTTCTTTGTAATAAAATTGTAGGTAATAACTGTGAATTCAGCTGTATGCAATGGAGTCGTCTCTTAGTCCAGAAGACCTTCCTCTCCATAACAAGTGGTGGAGGAAGTATTCAGATCCTTTACTTAAGTAAAAGTACTACTACTACTACTACTACTACTACTACTACTAATAATAATAATAATAATAATAATAATAATACATTTTATTTAAAAAGCGCTTATCTGAATACTCAAAGACACTGTCCAATATAATATAAGAAGAATACAAGAACATCAACCAGTAAAACTATATAAAACAGTACATTACATACGTTAAAAAACACATTAGACTGAGCTAGATTTTAAAAGAAATTTTAAAACGGTGAGTTTTTGTCAGTGATTTGAATGTTGGAGGGTCGGTACAGTCACGGATGGGTTTGGGGAGAAAGTTCCAGAGGAAGGGGGCAGCTACAGAGAACGCTCTGTCGCCCCAGGTTCGGTGCTTGGTCCGGGGTGGTGGAGTCAGAAGGTTTGCGTCAGATGAGCGGAGGCTGCGGGATGGATTGTGGCGATGGAGCAGGTCAGTGAGGTAGGAAGGAGCCTGGTTATGGCGGTTTTTGTGTGTAAGGAGGAGGATTTTGAACTGAATGCGCTGTGGAACTGGGAGCCAGTGGAGGTTCTGGAGGACGGGAGTGATGTGATCACGGTGCGGGTGTGTGGGTGAGCATACGTGCAGCGGAGTTTTGGATGTACTGTAGCTTATTTCGAGTTTTGGATGGTGTGCCATAGAGGATGCTGTTGCTGGAGGTGATGAAGGCGTGGATGAAGGTTTCAGCAGCAGAGAAGGAGAGTGATGGGCGAAGACGGGCAATGTTCTTGAGATGAAAGAAGGTAGTTCTGGTGATTTGGTTTATGTGATGTTCAAAGGAGAGGTTATTGTCAAAGATGACTCCGAGGTTGCGGCTGTGGGGGGATGGAGACAGGTTGGAGTTGTCAATGGTGAGGTGGAAAATAATACCATTTTGTTACATATAAAAGTCCTGCATTGAAAATGTTTCTTAAACCTATTACAAGGAGTCTTAAACTGGCTATGAAACAGTCTCAATTCAATACTGATGCCTCTATATAACCAACATAAGCAAACGAGACTAGCAGCGAGAAGACTGGCCAATTCTGTCTTAATAACTGCAACTAATGATTGTTTCCATAATGGATTAATCTGTTGATTTTTTTCTCTATTGATCAATTGATCGATATCTCAAAAATCCCCAAATAATCTATAGAAAAACATCATATTTCTTATATCTCTTTGTATGTTTTCTATGCAAAAATATTATTTTATTATTATTTTATTTTTATATAAGTGAGTAGTAAGTAAAGCTGTCAAATAAATGTAGTGCAGTATTTCCCTCTAAAATGTTGTGTCATAGAAGTATAAAGTGGCATGAAAATAAAAGACTTAAGTCAAGTACAAGTACCTTAAATTTATACATTCCTCCACTGTTCATATCCCATTGATGATTAAATCTAAAGACCTTCTTTACACTCTCTCTCGAACTTGATTCCATCTTTTAAGATTAGTCGTTATTTGATTTCTTTTCTCAGCATTGAATTTACACAATCTTTTTATTGTCTGACATAAATCTGCTGTAGCACTCCTGTAGCACACTATGCTCATCACACAAGATGAGAGCATCACTTTAAACTACAGCCATATACTCTCCTCTGAAGTGTGACCAAAGGTGAACAAGACCTTTAAAGACCTTCAAGTAAACAGCTTTGTACATGTTAAGCGACAGAGTCTGAATTCACAATTTCCTCAATCAAATTAACCCTTTTCTGACCCCAGTGTGACAGCATATGACTTCAATAGGGCAAAAAGAGTTTGCCACCAGTAGACACATCCTGACTATGTGTGCCTCTCTGACATTCGGCAGAAGCACACTGCCTTTAACTGCTTCACCTTTGTCACAATGTGGTTTGGATCAGGCACTAGAGGGTGAATACTATCAGGCTACAACTGTGGCCTGTGGCTGCCTCCTGCACGGATAAATCACATTCAGAATCACACTCCAGACTGAAGGTGACCATGTGTCAGGACAGGTTCACTTGAAGCCAAGTCGCTTCTCTTCACAGCTGTTCAGTTGTACCTAATTTTTCCCCCTGCTTCTATGCAGTCTTCTGCAGATGGATTGCTTGTTTGTACAGCTGCCTAATTGCGCAATACTGCAGCTGCCTCAACAACTGTCCTCAAACAGGAAAATTGACTGGGAGCTGGTAATGATCGGACTTCGATGTCTGCAGGAAAACATCAGTCATCTTCTCGGATTCTCTGGACTAAGGTGACTTTATAGTTTGAATAAGGTCCAGAACAGTCAGCAAGACAGGATCCACATGTTCAAATCTCTGTATGTGTGAATGTGCAGACATTTTTTTTGTCCATATTGGGGCCAATATGGTAGTACTATAAGATATGAAAGACATTTAAAGTGTAACAGATTGCGCGATAAACTACTTTAAAAAAGTACTTTAAACATTATATACAGCTCCTGAATAAAGAGTATCATGAACTAAATAAAATATAACAGTAACTCTAAAGTGTGAGACAAAATGGTCATAAATAAAGTGGGGAGACAAAGAGGTTTACATATAAAGTGCAACACAACAATTGCCTGTCTTTTGTTTGTCTTGTGTCAGCAGATAATAGGTTCAGCAGCTCAACCCAGTTATTGCACTTGTACCAGTACTTCTCTTATAATGCAAGATGGCATTTCAGAGGTGAAAGAGTTGAGTAATGTGATTAACTTACAGTCCAGGATAGTTAGCAAACTCTACAAGTAAAATAACAGCTAATGTTGTACCTGCTTTACCGTAGCATAGAAAGTGATTTTTTTCTGTAAAGAGTGGTTACAGGTTATTATTGGGGAAGGGGAGAAAAAACAAGCATTCCACTAATCCAAATCCACTACAGAAGTTTGTACATTTGTCCTGTAGTGGCTTGCACAAGGTTTAGCAAGTCCTTTCATCCAATGTACTAACTATACTTCTGACGGACTGGGTAAACTTCTTAAATTTCTGCTGTAATCAACCAGAAGGTGGCTGGATGTTCTTGTTGCACCTTTTCACTTGGCTGCAAGTTCTGTATTGACTCTAGCAGTGACAGCTGATGCCATATGTTTCAGTCAGCATTGGATATAGCCACTTCTAAATACCTTCTGATGCGCATCATTCAGTAGAGTTCTGCAAGCTTTTTTGAAGGTCAAAGACATTACATGGTTGTCCAGGTTTCATGAGAGGATGGAGTAAGGAATAAGGAATAAGGAATACTTCATTCAAAATGAATGATTATGCAGTTGTCTCACCCATCTGGGGTGTAAGTATTGATTGCAATTGGCACCTCTTCTGTGGGTAATGTTGATTT